TCGACCTCGAACGCACAGATGCGGTAGTAGAGGTCGTGACGGAAGGCGCCGGCGGCGACGCTCTGAGACAGGTTCTGATGCGTCGCGGCGACCACCCGAAACTTGGTCGGCGTCGGTTCGTCGCCGCCGACCGGCACGACGGCGCCCTCTTCGAGCGCGCGGAGCAGCTTCACTTGCAGCGGCAGCGGGATGTCGGCGACCTCGTCGAGAAAGAGCGTCCCGCCGTCGGCCTGGGCGAGCAGGCCCGGCCGGGTGCGTGTCGCGCCGGTGAACGCGCCATCGACGTGGCCGAAGAGTTCCGACTCGGCCAGCGAGGGGCTCAACGCGGCGACGTTGACCGCGACAAAGCGGCCCTTGCTGCGGGCGCTGTGGCGATGAATCGCGCGGGCGACGAGTTCCTTGCCGCTGCCGCTCTCGCCTTGCAAGAGGACGCTGGCGTCCGAAGCCGCCGCGAGGGCGACCCGTTTGTAGAGCGACTGCATCACCGTCGAGGCGCCGATCAAGTCGCTGCCGGCCGACGGTGGCGGCTCGATCGAACGGGGCGCCCGTTTCAGGGCGCGCTCGATGATGGCTTGAATGTCCTGCACTCCGAACGGCTTGAGCAGGTAGTCGAAGGCGTCGCTCTGCACGGCGCGGACGGCGGTCGCCATGTCGCCGAAGGCGGTGACGATGACGATCGGCACGGGGCCGAGCAATGCGCGGAACGATTCGATCGCTGTGATGCCATCGACGCCCGGCAGCCGCACGTCGAGGACGATGAGGTCGGGTCGCCAACTCGCCGCCTCGCGCAGTCCGGCCTCGGCGGACGAGGCGGACCGTGTCGGGTGCCCGAGCTTCTCACAAACACGAGCGACGCCCCAGCAGATCGACTCTTCGTCGTCAACGATCAACACTTTAGGCATGCTGGCAGTCCTCGGTCGCTAGCGGCATCTGTAGGAGAAAGCGGGTCTCGTCTTCGACACGGTCCCATGTGACCGCTCCGCCGCCAAGCTCGACGGCGGAACGCACGACGGCAAGGCCGAGGCCCACCCCCTCGGGCTTGTCGGAGGCGAAGGGCTCGAACACCCGCGGCGCGACGCTGGCGTCGGGGCCCGACCCCGAGTCCCGAACCTGTAGCGTGGCGCAGCGGGCGTCGCTCCGCAACTGGATCGACACGGCGGCCGGCGTCCCGACGAGGGCCTGGCGTTTGGCGGCGGCTTCGATCGCGTTGAGCAGCAGGTTGACGACCGCATGCGTGAGGTCTTCGGGGACGCCGCGCACCGGGCACACGCCTGCGGGCAGTTGCGAACCGACCGAAGCCCCGGCGTGGCGAGCCGCGGCGGCGGTGAGTTCGAGGGCGTCGCGGGCGACTTGGGTTAAATCGACCGTTTCGATGGCGCCGTCCGACGCGCCCTTGCCGACGCTGAGATATTGCTTGAGCCGGCCTTCGATAAGACCAAGCTGGCGTTTGGCGACGTCGAGCGTGTCGCGGCCCGAGGTCGACGCGTCGCACTCTTCGGCGTGCAGGTCGATCGCCATCCGACAGCCGGTGGCGGCGTTGCGGACCTCGTGGGCCATCCCCGCGCCGAGCGTCGCCAGCGTCTTGAGCCGCTCGGTGGAACGCACCTCTTCTTCGTACTCGGCGAGGCGCGCCGCCGCGCGGTTGACGGCGAGCGCTAGATCGCGCGACTCGTCGTTGAGGCGTGGCGTCTCAACGGGACGGAAGTCACCATCGGCGAGCCGGCGGACCTCACCGCCGATGCGGGCCATGAGGCGGCTGAGGCGACCGGTGGCCAGAAGCGTAACGCCGGCGATCGCCGCCGAAGCGATCGCGCCTACGAGGATCGGCGGCAGGAAGGCCGCTCGCCAAGCGGCGTCGTACTCGGTCTTCGCAACGAGCACGTGCAGCGTCCGCGCGGCGCCGGATCGGTCCGGCCGGTCAACGGGCCATGTCGAATGGAAGTAGACGCCCGCTGGCGTTGTGAGCGTCTTGCCGAGCGATTGGTCCGCGGTGGTCGAATGCGACGACTCATTGACGGCAGTCGCGGCGGCGCCGGCTCGACGACTGCTGGCGGCTATCGGTGTCCCAGCGTCGTCTGTGAGCAGCAGCTCGGCGCCGGCGAGGCCCGCCATCTGTTGGAGCACTTTGTCGGTGAGCGGGAAGCTGCTCTGCCGCAGCACTTGAGTGACGCCGCTCACTTGGCGTTCGATCCGCTGGCGCGTCTGGCGCGTCGCCAGCTGGCCATAGACCACGGCCACCGTCGCGAGGCTCACCGCCGCGACCGCCACGAGGGGGCCCATCAACTGGAATCGGATCGGGATACGCAAGGGCGTCGCCTCGTAGGTACCGCGGTCCTGGTTTGAGGGTAAGCCAGAGTCACCCAAGACTTTTGCGCGGGTCCGCCATCTTATTCGCCGCTCGGGGAGTCGAGACCGCAATTTCTGCGTCGACCGGACCCGCGACGACCCCTGTTGGGGGATTAAATCGCCTGCGCCCTCAGGTAAGCCCCTCGCAGGCCATCTACGGCCTCCGGTGGTGGGGCCTGGTAAACCCTGAGGTCGGCCTCAGGACGCGGCAGAATGGCCCTCTACGGACATCTGAACGCATGTCCAGAACCATGCCGTACGCCGGTCCCTTTCTTCGCCGCCATGCGGAGCGTCTCTCGACCTCTCCGAAGGTGAACTGCGGGACAGACCCCATGCCGCGCCTCCCACGGCTATTTCTGCAGGATGAGCTTGTCGTTCTTGGTGACGATCAGACGGTACTGCTCGCCGGCGTGCTCGATCAGCACCATCTTGGCCCCCCCGAAGAGGTCGGCCGAGCGGACGCTTCTCGCTAGCAGAGCGGAGGTGGGGCAGGTCCCGGGGCGGACGGGCACCGAACCGACGGTGGAGTCCTCGGGTAGCGGCGTTTCAGCCATGACGCGGCCCCTCCGGTATCGCGGGAGGGGCTGTATTTGAGGGCGAGTGGAGCTGGGTAGCTTTTTTGGAAGGGGCACTTGTCTTAAATGCCGATGGGGTTAAACTACCGCTCCTGCGACTCAGTCGCAACAACAAATCGGTGGTTCTCCTGAGAACCACCACCCGCCGCCAGCCAGGCCGTCGCCCTCCTCTTTTGCGAGGCGCGACACGGTCATCGCCAGCCAACGGGAGTCGTCGCCGCCACCCAACCCCGGGTGTCGCCCTGACCCGTTCCGCCATGCGAGACCAGTAGGAGGCCCAGCACACACGATCGCCTGATCGTGACCCCTTTCGGCGGATTGGCGACGCCGTTGCGTCGGCCAACCCAATCGTTCCCACCATGCCGTCGCGCCCGCGGCGGCGTTCACCAAGTAGCAAGCCACGACAACGTGGAAAAAGGAAAATTCGACCTCATGCTCCGCAACCTCGCACTCGCCCTAACCCTCTCGACCGCCGCCATGGCGACGGCCGCTCCGTTTGACATCAACACCGCGACCGGCTTGTTCGAGCCGTCGTTCCGCGGCGATGCTGATTCGACCTACGTCGGTTGGGACACATGGAATGAAAACCTCGACGGCGTCATTGAGGACACAACGCCCGATGTCGGCACGCACAGCGGTAGTTTCATTACGACCAATGGCGAAGTCCACGTCTCCGGTTCGGGCAACTACTACGCAGCGGGTGGATCGATGTCGGAAGAAGTGACCTTCACCGCTCCCGGCGTCGGCCCCGACGGCTTCACGACGGTTATCGTCCAGGGCGTTACGCTGTTCGGCGGTTGGTCGAACGACGTTACGTTCGGCCCCATTGATGGCGTCTCGCCGTCGCTGCAAGTGATGAGGCTCGACGAAGGGAACGCGATGGGCGCCGGTCAATTCTTCGTCAAGTACGAGATCCCCGGCCCGGTTGTCACGCCGTCGTTCATGGTTACGGCTGAGCCAGGACACACGTCGATGGGCCTCTTCGTCGTTGACGCCGCTTGGTCGGCTGATGGCTATGCCGCTGACACCGCCGTCCACACCCCCGAGCCGACCTCGGCGGTGATCGCCCTGGCAGCCATCGCCGGCGTCGCGATGCGGCGCCGATCGTAAGGGTTTGCCTCGGGCAACGTCTTGAAGAGGACCTACCTAATGCAACTGAGACGGATGATTCGCCAAACGACGGCTGCCGCCTTCTTGCTCAACGCCATCGCTCTCCCCGCGGCAGTGTGCTGCGGGGAGACGACGGCGACATGGACAGGCGGCGCCGACATCGATGCATGGGTCTACACCAACAATGACAGTGGCTCAGGGTCACGGTTCCAAAGCCCCACATTTACCGATTTGTCGATCGACCCGGAAACGAACCAGTTCGTGAGGGGGAGTGCAACAGGGGCGTCGCGATTGGGGATGGCCCTAATGGCCTTCCAAACTTCCGATCAGATCGCGCCGGCTAACGACCCGACGCGATACCGCATCGAATCGGTGAAAGTGACGGCTTGGGCCAGGCGAGCTCCCCTCTCGTCGGGTGATCTGCTTTACACCGATCAGCCGCTTTCGCACATCGATCTTCTGACCGAAGCTCAGAGTGGAAACGTCAGTTCTCAGAAACCCTTTGAGCTGTTCGGCGTAGGTTTCCGCGACGGTTACGAAGGATTCGATCTAGGGAACGCGTCAGGCGATTTGCTCAACAGCGAAGCGAGTGAGCCGTACTCAGGCGAGGGCGGCTCTTACATCGCCTACCCCATTGCTGGCGATGGTGAAGGTCAGTACATCGACGTTTCCAACAGCTACACCGGTGGGTTCAGCGCCACGTCGCCTACGGAGCAAACCGACCCGTTCACCGCAGCCCCCTGGGCGATCGGTAAGACCGCCGCCGCTGTCGGATCGGTCCTGGCGGGCAACATCAACTTTACGTTTGAGCTCGACCTCTCGTTGCCGGGAGTCGCACAGTACGTACAACAGTCGCTCTCCGATGGATCGATCGGTTTCATGCTTTCGTCGATGCACAGAACCGGCGTCATGGGGCAGTCGGGAGGCGCCTATCCCGAGTGGCGGATGCGAGAAGGCGCCTCGGGGCAATTGTTCGCCTCACTGGCGATCGAATACTCGCTGCTGGCGATCCCCGGCGACTACGACGGCAACGGCTTCGTTGAACAAGCGGACTACGACGTTTGGTCGCAAGCTTACGGCTCAACCGTTACCCCTAGCACGGGCGCCGATGGCAATGGCGACGGATTCATCGACGCCGCGGACTACTCGGTCTGGCGCGACGCCTTCGCTGGTTCGCCAGTGCTGGCGGTCCCCGAGCCAACAGCCTGCCTGACCGCCATCCTGGCGCTGGCCAATTTGTCGCTGCTACGCCGCCCTCGTACGGCATAACCTCGACTTGTATCCTCAATTGATAACGATGGAACGGAAACCAGCAACTGATCGCGCGGCCGCAGGCTTCACGCTCGTGGAGCTCTTGGTCGTGATCGCCATCATCGGGATCTTGATCGCGCTGCTCTTGCCCGCGGTTCAAGCGGCGCGAGAGGCGGCACGGCGGTGCAGCTGCCGCGTCAACCTCAAACAGGTCGGTCTCGCGACGCAAAACTTTTTCGATACGAATCGCCACTTGCCGCCACCTAAGGCCGGTGATTTCGGTGCGACCGAAGACCACGGCGGCGCCTTGATTGTGCTCTTACCCTATCTGGAAGAGGGCAGCCTCTACGACACGTACGATGTGAGTCAGCTCCTCTCCGCGCCGGCCAACGCGCCGATAACGACCGCCGTGGTGGAGACCTACCTGTGCCCCTCGATGCGCCCGCCGGTGCTAGGTCCTGTGGGGACGGCTCCAGCCTTCGGCTACGGCAGTTATCTAATTTCAACGCGGACCTATTTTGGCGCCGGCGGCAATCCCGATGGCGCCTTCGCGCGC